TTGGGGGGGGGGGGGGGGGTGGGCAGAGGAGAAGGGACTTTTCAAGCTGCTCTATTGTGTCTCGGCAGAGCCTGCTTTGTGCCGCCCATCTGAACTTGGCAAAGAGCTTTTCCAGGTGAACTGCCAGGGCCCTGTCACAGCTGGACAGACGAAGCACAGACACGGGAAGGTATTGCGCCCGCCCGGGAATGGAGCCCAGGAGTCGTGCCCCCGTTGTCTGGTCTGGCCGTTCCATGCCCTTTCAAGCTGCTCTATTGTGTCTCGGCAGAGCCTGCTTTGTGCCGCCCATCTGAACTTGGCAAAGAGCTTTTCCAGGTGAACTGCCAGGGCCCTGTCACAGCTGGACAGACGAAGCACAGACACGGGAAGGTATTGCGCCCGCCCGGGAATGGAGCCCAGGAGTCGTGCCCCCGTTGTCTGGTCTGGCCGTTCCATGCCCAGTCTTCTCCTGCTGCCCTTTGTCTTTATGCAGATACAGGGTGGAACAGAATGCCCAATCTGTGCAGTTCACTGCGGATGCTGCTGCCATCACTGTCCAGCTGCTTCCTTTCTTTCCTTTCCTCCCCCCAGTGCTGCCGCGCTGATTTCTCACTGCACTAGTCCCATTGGAGATCAGGACTCCACTTTACTGTCTACAGTGGAATTAAAAGCCCAGGGCTGGCCCATGCTGGCCGGCTCAGACTCGGAGAAGCTCAGGCGAAAGGGCTGTTCAATTCCAGTGGATACTGCTCTAGGACCCTCTGAGATGGGAGAGTCACGGTGCTCGGGCTGCAGCCATAGCTGGAATGTCTACACCACACCGCAAGCTGGCACGGCCCAGACATGGGTGTTCAGCTGCAGTGTTGACATACCCTGCCCTGAAGAGCTTACAGCCTACAACAACAACACAGAGGCAGACTGGCAGGGAGGAAATGTGGCCCTCCTCTCTCTGCCAGGGCAGCAAGGGTACAGCGGGATGACATGACTTTCCCCAGACCCAGAAGCAGTCTGGTACAGAACTCAGGTCTCAAGAGTTAGCACAGCAGGGGGGAGCTGGGTTTGGCTGACGGAGGCCCAGGTCTCAAGAGCAGGGGGGAGCTGGGTTTGGCTGACGGAGGGCAGGAGATACCAGATGTGCCTTGATTCTTCTATTGAGCTGCTCAGCCCTACGGGGTAGGTGGAATAGAGATGCATATGGCTGGGCTGCCTACCTTCACCGAGCCCAACACTCCCCCCTGGGAGCAGAGTAACAGGGCTGGTTGGTGTACAGCTGAACCTCAGCAAGCCTGATCAGCACCATCTAGCTACCATGGGCACTGTGGCCCCCATACACTGCCAGCCCACGTCTAGCTGCAAACAGGGAATCACCTTCTCGGTTCCCCTCCGGGCACCGCCCTTGGATCTGTTCTGGGCCGTGGCTCCCGCCCCACCATGTAAGGCAGTCAAGGGCTGCCATGTGTCAGGGTCTCTGTAAGGCATGGCCCTGCCCGCCTTACAAACAAGTGATGTTCCCCATATCAGCGCGACTCCACAACGCAGGCAACTGACTTACCGTCCACCCCCCTCCGTCCGTCGTCATGTCGCAATAGACCTGGAAGCCCGAGGGGTAATGAGTGGGGAAGATGGAGTAAACACCGTCCTCTTGTTGTCCGCTCGCGTAGATGTCAAAGCAGTCCCGGGGCCGCGAGCCTGCAGCGTCGCACGGGAGGGAAGGGAGAGCAACGCAGGGCTAATTAATTGTTTAAATTAGAGCCTCCCCGTTTGTTTCTGGCTCTCACCCCCGCTGCCTCATATAATTGACTGCTCCCACTCAACCTCCTCTCCTCTCATTCTCTTTCCTCTGAGGCTCGGGGCAAGCAGCGTCCTAGCTGAGGCCTCAGTGGCTTCCAGAGGACTGTTTGCGGCACTAATAAGGCACAGAGAGGGAGCCTGCAGGCCTCCTTGCTTGAAAGCTTTCGCCAACACCCCACATGCACTCACCCCTCTCCCAGCACCACGCAACCAGGGCCTTCTGCCAGGCAGATGTGTGCAATGAAAAGGGCTGCTTGCTCCCATGGTTAGTGAGGGTGTATGTATTGCACTGGCAAGTGGGGCCTGCGGGGAGTACAGTGTAGCTAGAGAGGGATGTATGCTCTGTGCGTGTGTGTGTAGCGCACACAGTACTGGTGTGTTTTGCTGGCACAGACGCAATTACAATCTGTATACAATTAAATTTAAAATTTAAATGTGAAACATTTTGATAAACACAAATTGAATTTTTTGGGGGAAGTGGGATGCGGAATTTACCTTCGAGGAGTTCAAAATTTTGCCTGATTCAGAACAAAGCCAAAGTTCAAATTCTCAAAATCCTTCCTGCAACAGACCTGTATCATACAGGTCAACCAAGTGGCAGAACAAACCCTACGAAGGTTGCAATAATCAAGTGCTACAGCGTTAGGAAACACCAGAATTAAAGCTGCCTGGGTGTCCTTAATTTTTGTCCCCCTTGTGCATACGCAGAATGGTGTGGTCTTTAATTATAGGAGGGCAGGAGATACCAGATGTGCCTTGATTCTTCTACTGAGCTGCTCAGCCCTACGGGGTAGGTGGAATAGAGATGCATATGGCTGGGCTGCCTACCTTCACCGAGCCCAACACTCCCCCCTGGGAGCAGAGTAACAGGGCTGGTTGGTGTACAGCTGAACCTCAGCAAGCCTGATCAGCACCATCTAGCTACCATGGGCACTGTGGCCCCCATACACTGCCAGCCCACGTCTAGCTGCAAACAGGGAATCACCTTCTCGGTTCCCCTCCGGGCACCGCCCTTGGATCTGTTCTGGGCCGTGGCTCCCGCCCCACCATGTAAGGCAGTCAAGGGCTGCCATGTGTCAGGGTCTCTGTAAGGCATGGCCCTGCCCGCCTTACAAACAAGTGATGTTCCCCATATCAGCGCGACTCCACAACGCAGGCAACTGACTTACCGTCCACCCCCCTCCGTCCGTCGTCATGTCGCAATAGACCTGGAAGCCCGAGGGGTAATGAGTGGGGAAGATGGAGTAAACACCGTCCTCTTGTTGTCCGCTCGCGTAGATGTCAAAGCAGTCCCGGGGCCGCGAGCCTGCAGCGTCGCACGGGAGGGAAGGGAGAGCAACGCAGGGCTAATTAATTGTTTAAATTAGAGCCTCCCCGTTTGTTTCTGGCTCTCACCCCCGCTGCCTCATATAATTGACTGCTCCCACTCAACCTCCTCTCCTCTCATTCTCTTTCCTCTGAGGCTCGGGGCAAGCAGCGTCCTAGCTGAGGCCTCAGTGGCTTCCAGAGGACTGTTTGCGGCACTAATAAGGCACCGAGAGGGAGCCTGCTGGCCTCCTTGCTTGAAAGCTTTCGCCAACACCCCACATGCACTCACCCCTCTCCCAGCACCACGCAACCAGGGCCTTCTGCCAGGCAGATGTGTGCAATGAAAAGGGCTGCTTGCTCCCATGGTTAGTGAGGGTGTATGTATTGCACTGGCAAGTGGGGCCTGCAGGGAGTACAGTGTAGCTAGAGAGGGATGTATGCTCTGTGCGTGTGTGTGTAGCGCACACAGTACTGGTGTGTTTTGCTGGCACAGACGCAATTACAATCTGTATACAATTAAATTTAAAATTTAAATGTGAAACATTTTGATAAACACAAATTGAATTTTTTGGGGGAAGTGGGATGCGGAATTTACCTTCGAGGAGTTCAAAATTTTGCCTGATTCAGAACAAAGCCAAAGTTCAAATTCTCAAAATCCTTCCTGCAACAGACCTGTATCATACAGGTCAACCAAGCGGCAGAACAAACCCTACGAAGGTTGCAATAATCAAGTGCTACAGCGTTAGGAAACACCAGAATTAAAGCTGCCTGGGTGTCCTTAATTTTTGTCCCCCTTGTGCATACGCAGAATGGTGTGGTCTTTAATTATATGAGCCCATATTTTTTCCACAGGACCTCTCTGCCTCATTACGTGTGCAGAATGGATGGCACTCCCTTAATGAGAAGTTATTCAATATTTCTTCATGTTCTTCAGCGTCTGGCCTGGGCCTAATTTATCACACACTATTCACCCTGATGTGAAGACAAAATATATTTCCTTGTGGGCTTTTCTGTGGTGCTCATCACCATGGTATCCAGGTGCTTCACAAGTATTTGCTGGCTTTCACATCATCTCTCTGAGGGAAGCAGTGGCATTATGCCCATTTTACAGATGGGGCACTGAGGCACAAGAGCGTGCACTGATTTTGGGAGCCCAGTGTCAGCCATTGCATGGGTAACCCTAATGGTGGGCTTTCCTAATGTCTGAATGCTTGATACTGCAGCCTTAATATTGGTCATTTAATTAAGTACATTGGGTGTAATTTCCTAGGTGGTAGTTTATTTTTAATTAAAGCAAACTTGAAAGTCAAATTCCATCTTGTGGCATCATACTGACACTAATATGTTTCCTCAGCAGAGTTAAAATCTTTAATGGTAGTAAAAGATAGCAGTAGTAGACTGTTACCTTCTATGTGGACCTACAGTAGAGCAGCAATTGCAGGGAGAATTTATTATGGAGCATGCTCAGTGTGGACAGATGCTTTGGAGAATTTAGCTGCTGCATTCTAAGGCGTTTGGACAAAACAGGTGTAAACTTATGTTTCAGAAGATTATAACCTGGATACATTTGGCAGCTTTTTAGGGAACCAGCAAAAGGCACATCCCTGACCCAAAGGTCTAAAACCCCTGCCAGATTTCATGTTGCTGCTCCAAAGCATGAGGATGCCAGAACTGTTCAAAGAAAAGCGCAAGAGGATCTCTTTTAACACAGGCAAAACAGTGCGCATTTCATTGAGATTCCTCAAAAACGTTGGTCAACATCAGTTGACTTTTTCAGAACAATACAGCCTGAGACCGATGCCTGGTGTGGAAAATTCTGGCCCCAAGAGTTAAAGTTTGGCAAAGTTGTAAGCAACTGAAAACCGGATCTCGTCGGGGAAGCACCAAGCAACCTTAATAACAAACCATGCCTCCAGTACGGGTGCACAGATGATGGGTTTGGGGCTCGTCCCAGCCATGATACACCCCACATCTCAGTGCCCTCATAAAGGGAAGTGGCCTTGGCCTTTACAGCAGGACAGAAGGGATCCAGGAATAACCCCACTGCAGGCAGCAGAGAGGTGACATTTCGGTCCCTCTGGTGCTCGATTTGCTACAGGTGATTATACCATCAGCAAAGGGACAAGTGCCTCGCAGCAAGAGGGGGTGGAGTGGGGGGAGAAGCCGTCTTCCACTCCCCTAGGAGGTTGGGTAATTTCTGGACAACTATATGACTGTTTGTGGAGCCGGCCAAGAGGCCTGGGGGATTTGAAGTCACAGCCTTGGTTTTGCCATCTCTGAGGAGGAACGCTTCTGAGAACCCTTGATGCCCCTGATGATCTGGGGCCAGCGTGACCCATATTTCTCTAAAGCAGAGGTAGGGAACCTCAGGCCCAGGAGCTGGATGCTGCTCCTGGCTTGCCTGGATCCCACCCCCGAGGCTCAAGGCCCCTCCCCCCAGCATTGGGGAGCCTGTGCTGGTGTGCCAGCTCCCCCCCCCACGGGGGTGGAGCACACAAAATCTAGACTGGGCCCCCCTAGGCTCCGGTGTACAAGGGGAATGTGGCGAGTGTTTTTCTCCTCAGTCAGGGGCCACCTCAGTGAGGGTTTGTTTGGGGGGGTTTGTTCTTTCTTGTGTGCAGGCCCCCAACTAATTTTGCTGTGGGTCAGCAGCCCCCGCCCCTAAAAAGATTCCCCACCTCTGCTCCAAGGGGAAAATGGGACACCGCATGGAGCTTGCCTCAGGACTGCCCCCTCCCCCGCACAGCTGCTCACCCGAGCCCTGCCCCTTTCTCCCCCTAGCTGGTGTTGCTGCTGCTCCCCCATACCCTGCTTGCCCCTTCTGTGAGGCTGAGGCTGGCATCACTGCTCTCGTGAGCCCTGCCTTTCCCGATCCAGTTGGCAACACAAAGGGCATGTCTACACTCGCCCCCTAGTTCGAACGAGGGAGGCTAACGTAGGCATTCGAAGTTGCAAAGGAAGCTGGGATTTAAATAGCCGAGGCTTTATTTGCATCTTCCTGTCCGGGCGCTTTTTTAAATCCCCTTAATCAAACGTTAACTTGAACTAAGTCCTTAGTTTGAGTTAATTGTTACACCTCATTCCGCAGGCAGTTAGTTCGGACTAAGGGGATTTAAAAATGGCGCCCGGACAGGAAGATGCAAATAAAGCCCAGGATATTTAAATCCCAGCTTCCTTTGCAACTTCGAATGCCTAGTTCAAAATAGGGGGCTAGTGTAGACATACCCAAACAGGACAAATATCCAGGCTTTTTGGCAAAAGTGGGCATGGTTTAAAAAAGCGGCTCTGCTGGCTATAATAGGACTTATGGTCAGGCAGGGCTGGGCTGGGCAGTAGGACTGTGCATGTTGCTGAATCAAACTGGGTGTGAGCATCCAGGCCAGCTAGTGCACACACAGCAAAGAACCACCCAGTGGTCTGCTGGGTGGAGCGCTCCATGTGGGAGCAGTAGGGGAGACACGCACTGCCCGGGGGGCACGGGACAGGCGAGATCCAGGCCCATCCAGTTCACCAGCCTCTAGGCTCCAGAGCTGCAGTGATGGGTGGAGGCTCTGGGGTTGGATTGGTCCCTAGAAGACAGATTATGGGCTTGCTCCTTGTGCTGTGCCCCTGGGGCCTCCACTGCACAGCAGAGCAGGGTCACGGAGCCAGAGAAGCTCTCTAGGAAATGCCAGGCATTGCTGGACCACTGTGAATCTGGGTCAGTCTCTGTACTGCCCTGGCCACACTGTGGGTCCCAGCTTGCATGGTCTGGGCCTTGTTGTGAGGAAGCCCAGAGTAATGGCGCTGCTCTTCCCCCTGCCTAGGGTTATTGGACTGAAGCGCAGGAAAGGAGAGGAGGAGGCTCTCTCACCATTGGAACAGCCCCGGGGCCGGGCCCCCCGGGCTGGAGGTCTCTGCAAGTCGGCCTTGAGCCGAGGCCTGGCCAGGCCTCGATCCTTCTGCAGGGCATCCAGGACGTCGCTGACGGAGCTCACCAGCCGGGCCATGTTGGTCTGGCTCTCTGAGAGCAGCTGGGAGGGGAGAAGACAAACGATCTCAGTGAGTCACTGGTTACTGGATTTACTCCTTACCGACATTGTGGGCAGCAGCCCTGAATGCATCCCTCACAGGCCGGTGCTGAGCCTGGCTGCATAGAGCGGGCTGATCCCCCTCACATCATGCCCTTAGGCTTCTACATACAGCACCTTCTGTCTCTATGCGCTTCTCTCCAGAGCAAGCCCTTCACCGACTGTCCCCAAAAGATTCTGCCGCCAATAGGGTGCAGCCCTCTTGGGAACAGGGACACAGACCCCATTCCACTGCCAGTATGGAGAGTCCTCATCACGAATGCCAGGCTAAGAGGAGTGGGGCTACTCCTGAGTGTGGGCAGAATGACATTCACCGAGGTTCCATCTCCATCCTCTGGACTTTGGCGTCCCAGCCCAGATTATATTTCCTATACATAGTAACAGTGGCCTGGTGGCTAGTCAGGCCTTTTTCATTCTACATTCAGCTCAAACTCGCTGTGTAAGTTAGGGACACGTCATGTAGCACTGTGCCTCAGTTTTCCCAACTGTAGAATGGGGATAATGAAACTCCCCCTGACTCTGTGTTTGAACTAGGGATGTGAAAGTTCAACAGTGTAAATGATTAACCAAAAACCCTGGGCTTATTGGTTAACATTCATGGGTTACATGCAGGCTCCTGGGGAGCCGACTGCCACCTCTTGTATAATCATATAACAGCTGAAAACTTCAGCCATTACACAGATACTTAATTACAAACATTTGAACATCCATAGTTTGGACCAATGTTTCTCAATCGGTGGTACAAGCACCCTTAGGGGTACTTGAGAGAAATCTGTGGGGGGTACGTCAACACAACTGAAATTTGAAGAAAACTAAATTTTTGTTTTAAGTTTTACAGCGCTTTATTATTTTTGTACTTTTTACACCCAAAAATTGAATTGCCCGCCTGGCTACGATAAAGTTGTTTAAACAAATCGGTTGCAATGGTAGGGAAAAAAATATGTTTCTGAAAACTGTAGGTACTGTTTTTTGGGGTTCTTTTTTCGAAAAGGGTACTGAGATACACTGGGGCTGTGTCTAGACTGGCCAGGTTTTCCGGAAAATCAGCCGCTTTTCTGGAAAAACTTGCCAGCTGTCTACACTGGCCGCTTGAATTTCTGCAAAAGCACTGACTTCCTACTGTAAGAAATCAGTGCTTCTTGCGGAAATACTATGCTGCTCCCGTTCGGGCAAAAGTCCTTTTTGCGCAAAACTTTTGCACAAAAGGGCCAGTATAGACAGCTGAGATTTGTTTTGCGCAAAAAAGCCCCAATCGCAAAAATGGCGATCGGGGCTTTTTTGTGCAAAAGTGCATCTAGATTGGCACAGATGCTTTTCCGCAAAAACTGCTTTTGCAGAAAAGCGTCCGTGCCAATCTAGATGCTCTTTTCCAAAAATGCTTTTAACGGAAAACTTTTCCGTTAAAAGCATTTCCGGAAAATCATGCCAGTCTAGACGTAGCCTGGGAGAAAAAGGCTGAGAAACACTGATTTGCACAATGCTTTGAACATGACTCCTGGATGAAAAGAGCTGCAGAAAAGACAGTGATGTGCTCGCATCACATTTCAGTGCAAACTCGGTTTGAACGTGGCTGACGTTGAACTCAAACATTGCCTTAAAATGCACCTAGCGCAGAGCCGGGTTCAGGCAGAGATCTGGGAGCCAAACCCCAGCAAACTCATGGAATATCTTCAGTCGGGAGCTGGACTGGGCACCACTGATGCTATCAAACGGAATTATTCTGTCTTTACCCAGTGGGGCCTGGCCTTTGCCAAATGAGGAGGACAAATCCCAGCCGAGCCCACAGCACATCTGACAGATTAACCCTGACCTGCTGTAGCCCCTGACCCCGTGTTTGCCATTTGGGGGATAAAAGGCATTTTACAGAGAGAGAGGATTCCCCATCAGTTTAAAAATATCTATGTCCTGCTGCAGCCAGATTACAGAATGTTTGGCCTCCCCTGAAAAGACACTCAAGAGCACAAGACAGTCAGGCTCCAGCTGAGAAGCAGGGGGCAGTAGGAAGCCAGGGACAGATCAGATGGTGGAAGAAATGCATGCACACGGTGTGACAAACTTCCAAATCGGGGCTCCAGAAACAGGGATAACTGCCCACTCCAGCATCTGGCCACCAGCTGGAAGAAACAAGGATAGGATGTGTGGATGTGTTTCGTTTTTAGGATGCAGTGTTGGCCATTTCATTTTTAGGACGCATGGGTCATATCTTTGCATGTGCAGTTACCTACTGTCCTACTGGGAATTAATGTTGGATTTCTTTGATCTCCCATCCCATCCCGCCATGCTTTAGGGTGGAACTGTAGCCATTCATTGAAGTTAATAATTGAAGTGGAACCAGGCAACAGGAAGCACAACTGTGAAGAAGAGGTTTGGGGAAATGAAGGGCAGACATCTCTGGAAGGAGCAGTGACCGCCCCTTTGCAACTTTCAGCCATCGATCTCAAAGCCTTTTACGAGGTAAGATTCTCTTTCACAGGGGGAAACTGAGATACAAAATGGTGACTGTGACCCAGGGAGTCTCCTCAATGCTAGCTGTCAGAAGGCACCCTACGCCATAACTCAGATCAGGTGCGACACACTCACTGTCGCAACACACGGTTGTCATAATCTGAGTCTAAACGGTGTCGTGAGGTATCCTATGCAAACCACTAACATGCTGGTCATTGTGTGAGGTGTGGATGGGTGATGTCTAAAAAAATTACAGCTGTGTTCTGGAAACATGTCTTTGAGTGGAGTTTTACAAACGGTGCATAAAGCACATTGTAACAGGGCAGCTGCCCTGTACTGGCCCCTTTAAGAGCCAAACCCCAGCCTGGAGCAGGCCCGGGGAGTTCAGCCCAGCTGGGCGGCGTTGGCCAATTAAGGCCCAGCTGGGAGCTATAAAAGGGAAGGGCTGCTTCAGCAAAGGCAGTGTGAGCCTGGCTGCTGAGGGAGCAGGACGCTCTCTGGAGCTAGGGCAGGGCTAGAGAGTCAGGCTGGGCCAGGGCGCTTGGACAGCCAACCGGCCAGCCTGCTAGGCCTACGGCAAGGCCTGCCGGAGAGACACCAAACCCCCGGAAGGGGGGCTCAGAGCGAGTGACTTGAGCACTGCCGGAGGGCAGTGTGGCGAAGAGAGCAGCGTGACCGGAAGATTCCAGAGGGGAAACGCCACGTGAGCGGAGGCCTGTGCGGGCGGAATGGACTGATTCCGGGGACAGACGATGGACCCCCGCTACAGTGGTGAGTGACCCCCTCACACCCATCCTGTCTCAGGTGTTGTTTTGCCAGTTTTCCTACACCTGCAATATAAACTGAGCAAGGCAATACCTCCAAGGAGAAGTACAGTTACTTATAAGGCCAAAAAAAAAAAAAAAGCCAGCAAGTTAAATGGGCTGAGGGAAAGTTTCATTGGCAATTTCACCCGAAAGAGCAAACGGGCCACAGGGAGGGAGCTGACATGCTCAGGAAACCTTCCTGGCTCTGACACAGAAACAATAGACTTTGGGAAACAGAAGCAAAGGCAGATGGCCATTTTGGCATCCATCATCCAGAGGGCAAAGGGGGAGCAAAGCCCTTTGAGCTCAAGCGAAATGGATCCTTCTGGCCTGAAAACCAAGAGTATCTGGAACGGACACTGGGGGAGACACTTGCTTAGACAAAGATTGTAACACACCGAAAAGACGTTTTAGCCACTAGAGAGCCTCTTGTGTTTTCTTTTACTTGTAACCACATATGCGTCTTCTCGTCTTACCCGCTCTCGCGTCTCTGTTCTTTGTTCATCGACTTATTCTTGTTTTGTTAGAGAATTATCTCGGTGCTGTGCTTAAACGAAGGATGCGAGTAGCAGCATAAGCGTATTGGGTAGTCGAGAGAAGTACTCGACTACCCCCACCCCACTGCCTCTGTATGAGAGGCAGCAAGGTGGGGGGGAGGGGTGGTGTGTGAGAGACAGAGAGAGAGAGAAACAGGCTTAATAGCTGGTTCCCCCAGCACCATCTCCATGGTGCCACCTCCCCCCCCGGGGTGGGGGTGGGGGCATAGGGGAGGCTGCTGTGAAACAGCTTCTGCCTGGGAGAGGCTGAGGTTTGCTGCAGGCAGAGGCTGGTCCAGCAGCAGGGCGTCCGCGGGA